CTGGACTCGAACCTCTTGAAATAACAGCAATGATCTGAATTGCATCTTCTGTAGCCATTGTTTTACATGAAGTTATCAAACTTCTTATACCACTATCTCGGAGCCTGTTTCAAACCATATAAGCTCTTCTTGAGCTTGCGCACCATCTCTATCTTTCCTTCTTTAATGAAGCCAACAGGCTACTTCATGTAGATTTTTTCATCCAAGTCACCATGAAGAAAGACACTCTTTACATCTAACTGCTCAAGAAAGAGGTCTTCTGCAGCTACCAAACTCAACACCACTCTGATAGTTATGAGCTTCAAAACAGGAAAAAATATCTCTGTGTAGTCCACTCCTTCTCACTGTTAAAACCCCTTCACTACTAATATGGCCTTGAATCTCTTGCTTCCATCACTCTCCTGCTTGACCCGGTAGACCTATTTGTTATGTAAGGCCTTCTTCTGTACAGATAGCTGGGCTAACTCTCATATCTTATTAGTGAGTAGAGAATCAATCTTCTTCTACATCGTATGCTCCCACTACTGAGATTCACTCACTTGCATTGTCTCCTCATAGCATTCTGATTCACCGCTATCTGTCAATAATAAGTAATCAAGAGATGAAAGATATTTGGGATTTGGTTTGGGTACCCTGGATGACCTCCTAAGCTCCACGCCCTGAGTAGTTGCTTCTGCACCTGGACCCTTCTCCGTTCTGTGGTCAGAACAAACATCATCATCCTTATCTGGAAGTTCCTCTAAATCCATGTACTCGGATCCACCTGTATCCGAAGTGCTGCTCCCACTGCTTTGGCTATCCTTGGCATTTTTCCTGTTCTTGTACATTACCTCCTCATTAAATATCATGTCTCTGCTTCTGATAATCTTCCTATTCTTCTCATTCTAAAGATGATATCTGAACTCATCAATGTCGTATCTAATGAATGTGCACTTCTGTGACTTAGCCTCTAGCTTGTCTCTGACATGATCACTGATATTGACATAAGCCACGCAACCAAATACCAGCAAGTGTGAGAGATTTATCTTCTTTCTATTCCAAACCTTCCCTGGAATCCCAAAATCCAATAGAACTAATGACCCGTAATAAATAAGGTAAGCTGTCGTATGCACCGCATCCGCCTAAAATGTCTTAGGCAAACCTGCATGTAATCGCATGCTCCTGGCACGCTCTGTCAAGGTTATGTTCATCCTCTCTGCAATGCCATTCTGCTGCGGCGTCCCTAGAGTAGTCCTCTCTAAACGAATACTATATGTAGCACAGAACCTCTTGAACTCCTCCAGCTCGTATTCTCCACCATTGTCTGATCTCAGACACTTCACCTTCAGATCTGTCTCATTCTCCACCATGACCTTTCACTTCTTGAAGACTCCGAACACCTCTGACTTGTGCTTCATGAAGTAAACCCACACTTTCTCGAGTGATCATCGATAAAGGTGACATAATATCTCAAACCGTCAAAAGAAGACACACTGCCTGGACCTCATACATCTGTATGAATCAACTCTAGCTTCTGAGCCTTAAGTGTCCTTCCATTCTTTTGGAAACTAACCCTCTTTTGCTTTCCAAAGATGCAATCTTCACAAACCCCAACTTCCACGGAGTCGATCTCGGTTAGCTTTCCCTGTGAATGTAAGATCTTCATCCCCTTTCTCGCTCACGTGCCCTAGCCTGTTGTGCCACAAATCTGTACTCTCTTTGCAAGCTACAATTGCGAGGGTATCACTTGCATGTAAGGTAAGATAGAGAGTCCCTAGTTTGTTGCCTCGAGCAACTATCATTGTACCGTTAGAGATTCTCCATGAATCCCCTGTGAATATCGAAACATAGCCTTCTTCTCCAAGCTGTCTCACCGAAACAAGATTCCTCTTTAGCTTCGGCACGTGTCTCACGTTCTTCAAGGTCCACTTAGAGCCCTTCATCTGAATCTATACTTTACCCTTTCCAACAATATTACAAGGCTCGTTATTCCCCAAATAAACTTTTCAAAAGTCTTCTGCTACATAATTCTGGAGATGCTTCCTATTAGCAGTGGTGTGGAAAGAGGCTTCTGAGTTGATGATTCAAGAATCCGAATCGCTATCCATAGCAAGGATTAAGACATCCTGCACGATATGAGCCTCCTACTTACTAGCATCCTTCTTTGAACTCGTGCAGACTAAAGACATATGACACTCCTGACCGTAGTTCCAACACTTTCCTTTAATAGGCCTAACCTTCGTGCAGACTGAAGACATATGGCACTCATGCAAACTGCATTGATTTCGATCGATTCCTGTTCTGGTTTCCTTTCTTCTGGATTCTACATCTCTGCTTGAAACTTAGAGCTGAACTTGAACCTTCTGATTCAGATGATTTTCTTCTAACCTCCTCAGATAGAATCATGCTAATAACCTCATTCAACTTTAACTTCTCTTTTCTCGCTAAATTGCTGATTGCCGTCACACAACCTGCCTAACTATCCAACAACTACAATAGAATCAATAGTGCTTGCACTTCATCATCGAACGTGATGTCTACGGAGATAAGCTAATCAACAATCATTTGAACTTGCTGGGGTGCATCGTGAATGACCGTCCTTCTGTCATCTTGAGGTTGAAAAGAGTCTTGACGAGATAGACCTTGTTTGCTGCCGACGGTTGGTCGTACATCTTCGCGAGCGCTTCCATAAGCCCTACCATCGTGTTCTCCTTCAATATGTTGTAGGCTACTGATTTGGCGAGCGACAACCGGATTTGCCCTAAAGTCTTCCTATCTAGTATCTCCCAATCATCATCTGACTCCTCTTTCTGCTGTCCCTTATCCTTGCCCATCAACAAGCGTTACAAGTCCTTCTGGTACAGATAGTCCTTCATCTACGACTTCCAGTAGGCGAAGTCTGAGCCGTTAAACTTGTCAATCTTAGATTTGATTTCCTCTGCCATGGCTTTCACACAAATTACTGAATGAAGCTCTGATACCAGTTGTTAGGGATTCGAAACAATCAATCGAACCCTTGCCCTTCAAGATATTGTGTTGAAAGTAGGAAAGTAGAAAAATTCACCACAAATAAAGATCAAAACTTACAGGAATAATAAATAAGACGAACACACAGATTTAATGAGGTTCGACAACGTGCCTACGTCCTTGGGAGCCGCACCACACAATTCTTTTGATTAGTTGAAGAAGAAATACAAGCTCTCAAACTAGGGTTTTATCTCTCTGAGATTCTCTCTCTTTTTTTGCTGTCAAAAGCTCTTTTTTCATGTACTACAAAGCCCTAAAAACGTTTAGGTATATATAGAGTGCTGAAAGAAACAGAATCTAAAACAGTTTAGGAAACGGGCTGACTGGGTCACTGTCGACCGTGGCGATCGACCGCACAGGTATCGCGGTCGACTGCGACGGTCAACTGCGGCGGTCAACCGAACCAAATTACCAAGAGCAAAAAACATTACAGTGTTGGCGCAGTCGACCGCCACGGTCGACCAAACTGATTCCCGAGACCAAAAATCCTTACAAGGTCCTCGCGGTCGACCGCTTTCAGCTCCAGCCTCTTCTCAGCTCTGTGCACGTTCACGGTCAACCGCCGCGATCGACCGTGCATGCCTTCTAATGTTTTTCTCAATTTTCTCCCTCGTTTTGATTCCAAGATCGGCTTCAACTTTGGATCGTTTTGAGAAGATATTTCATTATATCCTATTGATCCTGTTGAATTAGTGGTTTATCGTTTTTTTTGGGTTGAAAAAACAAGTTTAATTGCGGATAGGGCCCTTTTGTATCGTTGCCTCAAATTTTCAATTTCTCCATTTCTATTGTAGATAGACTATCTTGATTAAAATTTTTTCAATCTTTTTTCCTTAAAACAGTATTATTTTTAATAAATAGACCTTCTAAAAATAAAAGAGTCCTAAATATCGTATCTATCAGTTTGTTCAATATTTCAAAGTTCGTATCTATCAGCTTGTTCAATATTTCAAAGTATTTTGGTCATTTTGATAGTTTATAATTTATAATATATTTTTTATAGTTGAATGTTTGATAAATATGTGGTTTATAACTTGTTAGTACTGTCAAAATAAACTAAAAAAATACATGGCTCTGAATTTAAGGTGTCCTTTGGATTTTTATGAAATCATGAGGGATATATTAATTTTTTACTTAGTCAAACTTAATACACTTAAATTATAATCATGTAAACATAGATTATAATCTAGAAAGTAAATTATAATCTACTTTGATCAAGTTGCCAAATATACTTTAAGGTCTATCTTGGTTGATATCCTCATTTAGACTAAAAAGAGGGTTAACTTTACATAACCCTCACAAATTTTTGGGAGATTTCTCACATATCTCTCTTGAACTTTTACTTCAAAAAACTCTGTTGAACTTTATTTATTTAACATGATCCCTTTGAACTTTGGGTTATCTCACAAAACACCCCGAAACTTTAACCATTTTTGACTAGTCCGTTACATATAATTTGCATATAAATAAAATTTCTTTTAGAAGAAAAACACAAAATTTAGAGGAGAAGCGAGTACAGTCTCTATAAATAACAAATGACAAATTTTAAGATTTTTCTCTCAAGAATATTTTAGTTATTTGCAAGTTACATATATAGTTCACATGAGAAAAATATTAAAGTTTAGGAAACTTATGTCAGACATTCCAAGTTCGAGGTTAAATGAGATAAGCAAAGTTTATGGTTACGGTGAAACACCACCAAAGCTGAGGTCGTATGTGAAATTAAAAAAAAAAAAAAACAATGAACCGTCACTTCCTGTTCAGCTCTTGGCAGTTGCCTGCCATCTGAAACGGCGGGAACTGCAACTCTCGCTACGAATTCCATGCACCACTCACAATCAACTCCCTCACGCTAATCAACAACGCAGATTAATAGAGCATCCAACTTTTCCACTACACTCCAAACACTGACAAATTACCAACAAGTGTCAAAACACACCAAAACCCAATACCAAACAAAAGTAAAACAACGCAAACACTAACGCATTGTCTTGGATTTATACCCCCCCAGTTTTAGCGGTGCCCCGTGCTTACTCTCTGTTCTTGCTCAAATGGGCAAGCCCAAGCTGTTATCAATGGCGACCCCTTCCTTCTTCAAGGTCATGTTCGGCGATTTCAGAACCAGCCTGGTAATTAAGCCCCTCTTTATCGTACCCTGATCGTTTCGTCCTCTTTGATTTCGTTTGTTTATGTATTTATTCATTTTTGTTTCAGCGGATACCGACTTGCTTCGAAAAGCATTTTGGAGAGAAACCTATGCGCAGGTCAGTGCTTCGGAGCTCGGCAGGCCGGAAATGGGAGATCAAGATGGGAACTGTTGGCGATCAGGTTTTCTTTCAAGATGGATGGGGGCGATTTATATCGGATAATTCGATTAATTTCGGAGATTTCTTGGTTTTCTTTTACGACGGTGATGTGGGTTTTGATGTTAAGATCTACGGGGCGACATGCTGCGAGAAAGCAGTGGAATTTGAAGTGAAGATAGAAGCAGAATCAGAATCAGAATGTTCTGATTATAAAAGCCCAGTGAACCCAGGAAGTGATCCCCTGAAAGTTGGTAGGAATAAGAAGGCAAGAAAGAGCAAAGAAATCACGGCCGAAAAGAGCAGTAAGTGATTTGTGATGACTGCTACGTTTTACAAATTGGGTAGACTGCAAATAATATCCGTCATTGAATCTCGAGTAGTAGTTGTCAAACCTTCAACCCGTTTATTAGCACTTATCGCCTTCGGGTCGACATTTCGAGTAGCATAATAGAGGGGGCGATAAGTGGTACTAAACGAGTTGAGGGGTGATAAAGTGAAACCATGGGTAAAGATAAGGGTGTTATCTGCAAACTATCCTTGGAATTTGTCGGAAGTTTTATTTGGTGATGATGTTGGTTTTTCATCGTGTTGCTTGTAGAAATGTGCTATAAGGTCATTCGAGGGGCGAAGGTGAGTGACAAGGCTATCAAAGCTGCATGTTCCTTCAGGAGTCCTCATCCTCATTTTGTTACCAGTTGCAGGAGCTCGCCCACCTTTTACATGGTCTGTGGACTTACTCCTTAGCTTCTGTTATTACACTTGCTATATTGTTGAACTTCTTTTTGTTTGCGTTTCATGTTATTGGGAGATTTAGAAGATTCCTTGCCTTAATTATAAGATGTTATTTCCTAATTTGGGATTGTTCTTCATTATACGCATCCTAGCTACAAAGTGCATAGCTCCTTCTTCATAAGCAATGAGAGTATAGAACTTCTTCTTTCTTTCTTTTATTTCAACGCATGTCTTAAATTGCTAGTTACATTAGACTCGAAGGCACACGTGATACACCAAAATTCCAAGATCTTGATGAGGGTTGAGGGTTATAAAGTCATAGCCAGTAAAACTTGAACCTGGGTTGATTTGATATCATGTCAATGGTCGCTGCAACTACACCGAAACACTTCTTAATCTCAGGGTGATCGAGGGGAGATTTGTCGCAAGTACCATCATTGTGCTTCGCCTCATGAAGCATCTTTTTCTCGTTGTCACTTGTGAATCTTCTTTTCTTGATTTCACTCGTGACGCTTCTTTTTCTAGGAGTTGTCTTCACCACTGCAACTTTGTCACTGGTTGTCGATATGACAGGGATACAATGATATTCAACTCTGTTCGGGACAAGTTGGGCTTCATTGATCTGTTTGCCCAATGCTAGCTTTTGGGGGAGCATTAGAAGATGTTCTATGATTTTGTTGTCTTTAATAAAGGAGTCCAGATTTGATGTATAAATTAAATACAAATGTCTTCTCCTTTAGAAGTATCCTTTATTAGATGTTTTCTTTTCGTATATATTCTACGAAGTGTATAAACACGAGGTACTACTCTCTTCTTCATAACAATAATATAAAATCTGTTTATCTTTCCTTGATTTATCAACACTTACTAGACTTTCACTCAGATCAACTGTCACAGTGATTTTTAGTTTCATGGGGTGCCTACTATTTTCATCTGTTCTCTGTTGTTTTTTGGCTTTCAGAGAATTCCTGCAGAACTGGTTAAGAAATGTAATCTTGATGTGAAGAACTCAATAGTCCTTCAGGATCCTCGTGGTACTTCATGGTCCATAAAATTATCTACCTGGGGCGATGGGCACCTACGTTTGACATCTGGTTGGTCCCGTTTCTACAACAAAAACCACTTGAAGGAAGGAGATGCTTGTGTTTTGGAGTTAGTCCAAGGAGGCGCAACGATAAATGTTCACATTTTTAGATCTGCCGAATATAGAACAAAATCAATTCCACAATCAGGTAAGGAGCCATCCAACGTTAATTTTTCATTTCAGTGAGCGTGGTATTTATCTTGCATAATATTATGTCAGATAGGTTTATATTGTTTTGCCTTCTTGAAAACATGTTTAGTCTTTTATTACACCATTTTATCATTTACTTCCACTGCCCATGGATAATGTGGAATCATTTAATTGGTTTCTTATTGGTTATTATACAACGTTGCCGATGCTTTATATGCCACGTGTGATTTTGTTGCTCTTGTTAGAATAGAAAATAATAACCTTCAACCCTCACCATGACTTTGGTGCAGTGACAGTGACTTTTGACATACATGTCACAGGAGTAACCCAAATTGAATTCCCCATGTTGTGGGTCCAGCCCAAGATAAGACCCACATGAGGTCCATATGAATTAAAATTCTATCTACAAGAGGATTTGAAGAATCTGGTTGTAATAGGAATAAGTTTGGAGGACATGAAAATAAAATTTCTTTATAAAGGAATTCTATTCATGAGAAACATGTAATTTTTTCGGTACTACAGTAAACCCAGAACAGTAATCCGAGAGAGAGAGAAAGTGGGGAGAGAGAAAAAAGAGGGGGAGAGAAAAAGTGAGATTCCGGATAACTCAGTTGTCCGATTATAGTGATTCAAAAGCCGTTGTCTTCAGAACGACGACGCCGTCGAGGGTATGGTGTTGGTTTCTCCGCGGGTGTTAGAGATTTTTTGGTGAGACGGGTTTTAGGATTTTGGTGTTCTAGAGATAAAACTGTATCTTTCTCTTGTGATTTAATCCTCAAGTTTAGATGTAACTTGGAGGGATTGTACTCTTAAGTCATAGTGAAATATTTCTCTGGATTGCTTCATGGATGTAGGCACGATTTTTCGAACCACGTTAAATCTTGGTGTTTGTTTGCCTATGATATTTTTATTGATATCGTTATTTGTTTAGTATTTAATTCCGTAGATTCATCTCCATAAAATCCCTAAAAAGTGGTATCAGAGCCCTAGTTCGAGACGTGCTTTGGGATGGAAAAATGGAGAGTTTTGGCATAATAATGAAAATAGATGGTTTCAATTGGTAAGTATGAAAGTCCAAGATGGAAGATATTCTGTATTGTAAAGATTTACATGACCCTATTAAGAGAGATAAAGCCAAGCTAAAAAAGATGGCTGATAAAGAATATGAGAATAACACAGGAAGGCGATTAGTTAGATTCGGATGTGGATCGATGTTAGTGTGTTTCATCATGTATTGGGTGAGACTAATGCGAAGTCTCTTTGGAAGAAGCTTAAGGATCTCTACGAGCAGAAGACCGCGGGAAACAAGGCGTTTAGTATGAGGCGGTTGGTGAACTTGAAATTCAAAGAATGAAGCAACATAGCGGGGCACTTGAATGAGTTCAAGAGTTTGATTAATCAGTTAGCTACCATGAAGATGACTATCGATGATGAGCTACAGACTTTATTGCTACTGTGTTCTTTGCCAGACAGTTGGAAGACACTGTTTGTGACAGTCAGTAACCCAGCTCCAGATAGTGTGTTATTGATGAATATGGTTACTAGTAGTTTATTCAATGTGTAGACTCGGAGGAAGTCTACCAGCACAGATAACTCACATGCACTTGTCACGGAGAACAGGGGTAGGAGCAGGTACATGAACCAGTCCAGAGGTCATGACAAAGGAGAGGTTGTTTTTATTATGGGAAGTCTGGTCATATCAAGAAGAATTGTTGGGCATTGAAGAAAGAGCAAGCTGTGAAGAAAGATGAAAAGAAGAAAGCTAACAGTGACACTACAACTACTTTGTTTGAGACCGAGTTATTCTCATTTGTAGGGAAGAAGACTATATGCATATTACAAGTCAGAATTCTGAGTGGATAGTGGATACAAGAGCTACATGTCATGCTACCTCCAATCGAGACATTTTCATATTATATAAAGCAGGTGACTTTGGCATTGTGAAGATGGGCAATATCAGCTACTCGAAGATTGTGGGACTTGGAGATATACACTTGCAGATAGATATCGGATGCACATTAATCTTAAAGAATGTGTGGCATGTTCTCAATTTGTGGCTCAACTTGATTTTGGGTCTTACTTTGGACCGAATGGGATATGAAATTCAATTTGGTGGAGAAAAATATAAAATTATCAAAGGCTCTCTTGTGGTGGCTAGAGAAAATATATGTTATAATTTATATAAGACTCAAGTAAAGCCTTCATATAATTCTTTGAGCAATATAATTCTTTGAGCATGGCTCAAGATGGTGACACTCTCAGTTTGTGGCATAGGAGGCTCTGGCACATGAGCGAGAAGAGGTTACAGATATTGGCAAAGAACTCTCTCATTCTTTTTGTCAAAGGTTCGTCACTCACCCCTTGTGATTATTGTTTATTTGGTAAATAACATAGAGTTTCTTTTAGTAAGCCTTCTAAAAGAAAAGATAATATCGTGGATTTGATTTATTCTGATGTTTGTGGTCCTATTGAGGTGGAGTCCTTGGGTGGCAATAAGTATTTTGTCATATTTATTGATGATGCATCACGGAGGATGTGTGTCTTCTTATTGAGGACAAAGGACCAGGTGTTTTTAGTCTTCTAGCAGTTTCATACCATGGTGGAGAGGCAGATAGAAAAGAAGTTGAATTGTTTATGCACCGATAATGGAGGAGAGTACACTTCTATTGAGTTTAGAGATTATTGCTCCAAGCATGTTATTCGGCATCAGAGGACATAACCTGACACACCACAATATAATGGACTTGCAGAGAGGTACAACAGGACCATTGTGGAGAAAGTTAGATACATGTTGAAGATGACGAATTCACTTAAGAGCTTCTGGGCTGAAGCTGTTCGCATTGCATGCTACATAATCAACATGTCTCCTTTAGTTCCTTTGAATTTTGATATTCTAGAGAGAGTTTGGTTCGAAAAATATATTTTCTATTCTCATCTGAAGGTATTTGGTTGCAAGGCGTTTGCACACATTCCGAAGAGAAGAGATAGAAGCTTGATAATAGAGTGGTTCCTTACATCTTCCTTAGTTATGGAGAAGATGAGTTCGGCTACAAATTTTGAAATTAAAAAAAGAGATGAATTATCAGACGAGCAGATGTGATTTTTTAGGAGGATCAGATTATTACAGATCTCGTAAGAGCAGAGCAGTCAGAGAGTGTTGCTAGTGAGATTCCAGATATGACACTTGTTTCGTCTCCAGTACAGTTGCATCCTACAGATATAAAGCAGGTGCATGATGATGATGTTGATGATGACGGTCAGATACCGAAGCAGGGAGACGGTGATCAGGATCACGAGAAGGAGGCTCCTTAGCAGAGGGAGCATCACCAGCAGTAGGAGTTTGCAGAGCCACAACTTAGGAGATCAGCTAGAGAGCATCGGCCATCTACGAGATATTCTCTTTCGGAGTATTCTTTGTTGACAGAAGAAGGGGAGCTAGAAAGCTTTTAGGAGGCACATACTCATAAAGACAAGGACAGATGATTCCAGGCTATGAAGAAAGAGATGAAGTCTCTTGAGAAAAACGATACTTATGAGTTCGTGGATTTGTTGAAGGATAGAAAAACTTTAAAGAACAAGTGAGTGTTTAAGTTAAAGAAGGATGGCTACAAAAAGATTCAGAAATACAAAGTCAGATTAGCGATGAAAGGCTTTGGTCAGAAAAAGAGCATTGATTTTGATGATATTTTTTCACCAGTTGTGAAGATGACGTCCATTAGAGTTATCTTGAGGTTAGCAGCTAGTTTAGACCTTGAGATTGAGCAGCTTGATGTGAAGACTATATTCTTTCATGGTGATTTGAAGGAGGAGATCTACATGAAGCAGCCAGAGGGTTTTGAAGTGAAGGGGAAAAAACATATGGTTTACAGGTTAAAGAAGAGCCTCTATGGTTTGAAATAGGCACCTAGGCAGTGGTACAAGAAATTTAATTCTTTCATGTTCATGGTTACCAGATGACAGTTGCAGATTCATGTGTATATTTCAGGAGAATTTTAGATTCTAGCTTTATTATCCTTTTGCTTTATATGGACGATATGTTGATTATTGGTCAGGATAGTCAGATAATCGGTGGGCTGAAGAAGGAGTTATTTAAATCTTTTGACATGAATGACTTAGGCTTGGCACAGCAGATTCTTGGTATGGATATTGCTCGTGAAAGGAAAACTAGGAAGTTGTGGTTGTCACAGGAGAATTATGTTGAATGGCTACTTGATAGATTCAACATAAAATATGTCAAGTCAGTCAGTAGTCCTCTTACATGTCATTTGAAGCTTAGTAAAAAGTTTTTCCCAACTATAAATGAGGAAAAGAGTGAGATGGAGAATATTCCTTATTCTTCAGCTATAGGAAATTTGATGTATGCCATGATTTACACTCGGCCAGATATAACTCATGTAGTTGGTGTTGTGAGCATGTTTCTTTCTAATCCCAAAAAAGTTTATTGGGAAGGTGTAAAGTGGATCTTAAAATATTTAAAAGGCAGTTCTAGATTGTGTTTGAGTTTTTGAGGTTTGAAGACAGTATTATATGATTTTATAGATGTAGATAGATATGACATGTGATCTCGATCACAGGAAGTCTAACTCAGGTTGGTTGTTCACTGTTGTAGGGGGAACAGTATCTTGTCAGTCTAGGTTACAGAAGTGTGTTGCTTTATCTACAACAGAGGCGGAATATATTACAGTTGTAGAAGCCGGTAAGGAGATGATTTGGTTGAGAAGAATTTTGCAGGAGTTAGGCATGCAGCAGGACAATTATCAAATCTTTATTGATTGTCAAATTGCTCTTGATTTGAGTACGAATTCTACATTCCGCTCTAGGACGAAATACATTTATGTGAGATATCATTGGCTTAGAGAAGCCGTTGAGAAAGAGGAGCTAAAGCTACTAAAGATTCACACAGATAAAAATCCAGCAGATTTTTTAACGAAGACCGTTTCTAGAGAGAAGACCGAGTTTGTCGGCGATTGACCGGCATGGACTCTTGTTGAGGAGTTATAGATTGGCATACCCATTCGTTGGGTTGGAGGGGGAGATTGTTGTGGGTCCATCCCAAGATAAGGCCCACATGAGGTCCACATGAATTAAAATTTTATCTAGAAGAGGATTTGGAGGATCTAGTTGTAATAAGAATATGTTTGGAGGACCTGAAAATAAAATTCCTTTATAAAGAAATTCTATTCATGAGAAACATGTAATTTTTTTGGTGCTACAGTAAATCGTAAATAGTAACCCGAGAGAGAAAAAGAGAGAGAGGGAGAGAGAGATTCCGGATAGCTCGGTTGTTCGATTGTAGTGATTCAAAAGCCGTTGTCTTCAGAATGACAACACCGTCGATGGTACGGTGTTGGTTTCTCCACGGTGTTGGTGATTTTTTTTGGTGAGATGGAGTTTAGGGTTTTGGTGCCTTAGAAGTAACACTATATATTTCTCTTGTGGTTTAATCCTCAAGTTCAGGTGTAACCTGGAGGGATTTTACTCTTGATTCATAGTAAAATATTTTTCTGGATTGCTCCGTGGACGTAAGCATGATTTGTCATACCACGTTAAATCTTGGTGTTAGCTTGCCTGTGATATTTTCATTGGTGTCGTTATTCATTTATAATTCCGCAGATTAATCTCCATAAAATCCCTAACACCCCACTGGCCATAAATTTCAAGTGGATTTAAAAAAAAGATATGATTGCGGAGCATGCTAGAATATAAAATAATATCCCTCAACTTTCACCACAAGTTTAGGGTTTTGGTGGAGGGGAGTGGAGTGTACGGACCTTTGATAATAGTTTAAAAACCAGCATTTTTGTGCATAAAATAACTTACCTTGTTCATAATCCTCAGCCTACAAATGCATTTGTTTCTGCTTATGATGTAGTCTGCTTAGCATTAGTGTGCTCTGAGATGAAGGCTGTCTAAACTTGGCACACTTGGCTAGATTATAAAATTTTATCTCAGTTAGGGACCCAACACCAAGGATAGTGGATATATAGCTTGATATGTCAATAAGAAGTTGAAATCTGTAAACTCACATGGATAACAACATTAACTCACTTGTTATAAGATTTTTTATTTTTTAATTTTGATTTTATGGATTCTTTTTCTCTAAATTGATATTAGTTCTTCATTGTTTACTTTAATTTAATCTCTGAAAATACTATCAATTCTTAAAATCTAATTAAGAATATCGGATCAAAGAT